CCAGGTCTACACTAGGTGGGCACGCGGTGTCTGCTGGGCCAGGTCTACACTAGGTGGCACGCGGTGTCTGCTGGCCCAGGTCTACACTAGGTGGCACATGGTGTCTGCTGGGCCAGGTCTACACTAGGTGGCACGCGGTGTCTGCTGGCCCAGTCTCCTAGGTGGCGCGTGACGTACCTCCTTGTTCTTGGACTCTTTCCTCAGCGACTTCTCCAAGACCCTGGCCTCGTACTCGGCTCTGGGATGGTCCTGTGGAGGGAACTAGCTGGAGCTGCAGTCCGCGCAGGCCAATTGCGGTGGCCCGGGGCGGCTGTGGGCAGTGCACTCCGGCGCCCTGGGGCCAGTTCACGGTGGGCAGCTGGCCACATGTCCGATTTAGAAGCCCCMGTGTCTGGGCCTGGGTGCAGGCCCAGGCGGCTCCCCTGTGGGGACCACGTCCTGCAGGGAGGCCAGTGGACCTGGAGGGTGGTGGGCTGTGGGCAGGCTGCAGTGAGCACCCAGCCACGAACTGGCCCCGGGACACTGTGCGGAGCAGCTGCGGGGCCAGAAGAGACCAGTAAGTACCAGCAAGCGCGGGCAGCAGGCGGCCCGGGGGCCCAGGCAGGTCAGCGAGGCACTGGAATGGAGAACAGGTGAGGCGAGGGGGAGCAGAGAGCCCGGCCCAGGTGCAAGAGTGAGAGCCACACGGAAGACAGGCGGGCAGGCGTGCCGGAAGGTCCCTCTCCCGGGAGACAGGCTAGAGGGGGACAGAGGATGACAAGAAATTCCAAACCTTGACGGCCTCCTTCAGGGAACCAGAAAGTGGAGACAAAAACAGAAAGACTCAATTACTCGGGCTGTTTTCAGAACAGGATGCGTCCTCTAGAGACAATGCTATATATGTACACAGAGGTACCAGGGGTTGAACCAGGGACACTTGACCCCTGACCACACCCCAGCCCTCTTTTACATTTTATTTGGAGACAGGGTCTCACTGAGCTGCTCAGGGCCTCACTGAGTTGCTGAGGCTGGCCTTGAACTCRCGATCCTCCTGCCCCAGCTGAAGACAATCCTCTGAAGAATCACCATGAAGGTGAACGGACACAATGGACACAGAGTGTTGGGGACAGGGGTTGACAGGGACCTGGGATCTGTGAAGTCCTGGTGGCTTCAGGATGACCTTGTGAGCTGTTCACTTTGTAGCTCTAAGTTTTTGCAGATTCCCAAGTCAGTGCCAGACTCAGTCCCTGGGCACAGCCGGGGGGSAGAGAGGCCATTCGCTGGACAGAGCTGCTGCTGGGTGTGCCGACACCTGGGCTTCGGACTTTGGGAGGCCCTCCACCTGAGGCTGCTGCCTCCCCCAAGGCCCAGGGCAGCTGTGACCCGGGGCCGCTCACTTCAGGGAGCCCTTTAGGCGCCCCCTAGGTGGGCATGCCGTGTCTGCTGACCCAGGTCGACACTCGGTTGACCTCAAGGACTGCCTCGAGGACAGGCTCAGGTTCTGACCTGGCTCGGCCTGGACAGCCGCTTGCTGCCGGCCAGGCAGCTGGGTGAGCACTTAGGAGGCTCCTGCTGTGTGCTGGGCCCGCTCTGAGCAGGCCGGTCCATGGACCCACTGAGCCCTCCCACGCCCCATCGAGCGAGGGCYACTCCTCGTGCCTGTTAGGCAAGGACGCTGGGCCCCAGATGTGAAGCCACGTCCCCAGGGCCCACCCTCCACCTGCAGGGGGTCGCCTGCTCTGTGCCAGCTGCAGAAAGGCCCCTCGCCGGGCACTCGGGCTTGCTGGGCACGCCATGGCCGCTGGCCGCTGGCCGTCCCCCCTTCAGAGCAGGCCGACGCTCGGCCCTGCCTCCCCTCTGCGGTCTCAGGACGGGTCCCCTTGCTGAGCTGCGCCTGGCTGCGGGCAGGGAGCTGGCTCCGAGGGCCTAGGGGCCTCTGGGACCACGGGCGAGGTGTGCCCTCCCCACACCCTGCAGCCCCCAGATGGGAAGAGGTCAGTGGGCCAGCCTGGGCGGGCGCCCTAGACCCGCTGGTGGGTGGTGCGTCCGCGTGGTCAGACACCCTGGCACACGCAAAACGGTTACCCCGACACTGCGGGGGTCTGGAGCCCCGGGGGGGGGCAGGGGTCGGGGAGGAGCCTCGCCGTGGCCGGGGCACCTGGGGGCAGGGGCTGCACAGCGCCCAGCCACTGACCTCCTCCTCCTCGAAGCCCGTGAGGTCCCAGCGGTAATTGAGCCGCATCTGCTTCCGCTTCCAGTGCTCCATGAAGGTGGCGGCTGCGGAGGGAGGGGAGTGGAGTCAGGGCCACTCGTCCCCGTGACGGGCAGCGTCCTAGTCTTCAGCAGCCCTGGGAGTGCCAGGCCACCAGTCACCCCTACAGACGAGGACTCCGCGGGGCGCAGTCAAGCCCCGCCCGCCCGGTCAAGGCTGCGGCTGGCCCCAGAGCCCTGCCCTCACCTCCCGCTCCCCTGCTCCCCGGGACCCCGCTCACGGTGGGGCCTCCAGCTGGGGGTCGGGCCAGGGCAGGGAGTGTGTGGCCACCACGCCCTGCTGCGCACTCCTCATGGGCCACACAGTTCCAATGCCACCACCTCCAGGGAGCCACCAAAAACCCGCCTCGGGGTCAGGAAGAAAAACAAAAACCTCTCCTCCCGAGACCTRCGAGGTCGGGACATGGCTGCGTGTCCCTGGGCCTCAGTGGTTGAATTCCGTCCCCGCCGTGAAGTACCGAGAGGCAGGAGCTCACTCCACAGGCGTCTGGGGGTGAGGCCTCTGGAGGTGGTTAGGGCCAGACAGGTCATCTTGGAGCCCGTGAGAGCTCTCTGAGAGGGAGGGGCCAGACAGACAGACGCAGCGTGCCCCCTGCCTCTCACAGGGGCTGCCAGCAACAGGACATTACCAGGCACAGCCCTTGACCTCGGGCCTCCAGAATCTCAGCCAGAACAAACCTCTTTGCTTTCTAAAGTCACCGGCTCAAGCATTTCGCTGTAGTATGGAAAACAGACTAACACRGAGCCCTCCCCACACTGCACCCGTCCTGCTCCTGTGTTGCCACCTTCTGTTCCAATCCTGTCTCACGTTCTGTGGAGCCTCTGGCATGTGTGTCCTGAGCACCTACCCGGGCCTGGCACACTCGGACRGTCAGCAGTGCTCACTGATGAATGGGTGAGCTCACAGCTTGCCAATGGAGACACAGGAGCCTGAATCATTGGCCAGGAGTGCTCCCCACAAAGGAAGTGCTCCCCACAAGGAAGACCAGCAGAGGCCCAGGGACGAGCGAGCACAGGGCTGGACACAGAGTAGCGCTCAGGATCCTCCCGCCGCTGCGAGCCAGGCACGGCTCCCCCCGAGTGCCTCGCTATCACAGCTGGTGGGCGCTACTTCCCCATTTGAAGGAGGCTCAGAGGGGCCGGACGGCTCATCTTGAGAAGTGGCGGGACCAGGACAGAGCTAACATGACACGTGGGACCCCGGGTCTCCAGTGCGAATTCACAGGCTCCCAGCAGGAGGCCATGTGCCCTGGAGATGGCGTGGGGTGGAGGTCAGTCTGCAGGGAGTTGTCCCTCTTCCCGGGACGAGAACGCACCCCGGGGTTTACACGAGTTCGTCACCAAGGGTCATGGCTCCTCAGCCAGGCCCAGCCAGCAGCCGGGGWGCTTTCCAGGCCTTGCAAATGGGCAGGACTTCATCCCGCGAGCTGGACACAGAGGGACGAGAAGCCAAGCTGGATATGGCGAGGCCACCGGGGGCCGTCGACGGCAGGCTGTGGGTGCCAGCGTAGGGGTGCCAGCTTGCGGTGTTGGAGCCAGAAACAGGCTGCCCACAAGAACCTAGGATGATGGCGGGCAGGTTCCCGGGGGTTTGGAGCCAGGAGGACACGGCCACCCCAGGATGCCCCAGGAGGCAGAGCGGAGGGAGGGGCACCTGGCCCACCTCCTCTGGTCCCCAGTGGGGTCCCCGGGGCAAAGCCTCCAGGAAGTGGAGGCCAGGGAGCGCGGGGAACGTGCAGGTGCAGAGCAGGGCAGCGGGTGGGGGGATGGCCGGTGTGGGGAGGGGCTTTGGACAAGAACATAAAGGCACAGGTGACAAGAGAAACGGACAAGTGGGACCTCATCCAAGTACAAGCTTCTGCACAGCGCAGGGGGAGCCAACCCAGGGGAGGGACAAGCGGCAGGGGACCAGCGCCCGCCTGAGGCAGCACCGTCCAGGGCGGCAAGTGACCCGAGAGCCGTTTCCAGGGACGTGAGCGGGTCAAGAGGTGTATGCAGAGAGCACTCGGCGCCACTAACATGGGAAATGGGACCACACCACGGGGACATGCCACCGGCCCCAAAAGGGACGATGGCCCAAGGGGAGAATGTGGGGAACAGGTGGGAACCTGAGTGGGACGGCACCGAGGTCCCCAGGCCAAAGCTGGCCGACCTGGTGCTGCAGCCGCCCCCCAGGCACACAGCGAGGGAACGGAAGCCGGGGTGGRCGGCTCCTGCTGGCCCTGCGGCCGAGCACCGTCCACGCAGCAGGGGGTCCGTGGCCCTCGAGCGAGCGGGTAAAGAAGACGTGGTGCACACATATTCTTCAGCCGCGGGGGAATCGATCCTCTCGTCTCCAGCAACAGGGTCGGGCTGGAGCGGGACGTAGGGGGGGTGGCCGGGCACCCAAGCGCCAGGTCTCTCACGGTCTCTCTGTCGGAGCTAGAGGGGCGGAGCTCGGGGGAGGCAGCGGCCACGGGGCAGAGGGCCCGGGAGGAGCGGGCTCTGGGTCCTGTGCCAGCTGGTGACGGCAGTGGCACCCTGGGTGTCAGTCCAAGAGCTGGAGAGGGGCTCTCGGTTCTCCCCGCGGGAGGTGATCCCACTGGGTGACAGCCACCTCCGTGCCTGGGACGAGGACGGCAGAGCACCCAGAGCACCCAGAGCCCTGCGCCGGGAAGACGCAGGGCAAGACCTGCCAGCCCCAGGGCCACGCACGCCCAGGAAGGAGACCCCAGCTGTCTGTCACCACGCCCTCTGGCGTGGGGACCAAGGTGGGGCCAGCCTCCGTCTACCCTGCACCCAGAGGCCCTGCTCCTGTGCCCCCCTCTGGCCACGTGCCCGGCCAGGCCTCGGTGTCTCAGGACGGAGGCGACTGTTGGCCCGCGCTGGCCCAGGAGGGCTCTGCGGGGAGCTGGCTGTCCCTCTCCATCTCCTCCTGGGTGCAGCCTCCGTGTTTCCGTGCCCGCCTGTGGCCTCAGCACTGGTGTCTGATGTGGCCTGGTCACGTGTCAGGCTTCRGGCCGGCACGTGGGGGACACTGGCTACCCTCACGCCCAGGCTCTGGGTGCAGGCCCCACTCCCGGGGAAATCAGCGCTGAGTGCAGAGGGCACACGCTACGCCCAAGGCCAGGCTGAGTGGGACCTGAACCTCGTCCTGTGACACTCCAGGGTCGGCCCGAGAGCACCGTGCTGGATGGGCAGGGAGTGGTGACCACAGCCCCGATTGTAAGTCCAGTTATCATGGGTATGCCTGGCWGGGACACTCCTGCCACCGGCCCTCCTGGTGCCAAGCGTGGGCAGCAGTGGGTCCGTGGGTCCTGGTCCTGGGGGTGCCAGTGACACCACRTGGGACACAGCACCCGCCTGGCAGCAGCACTGGGTGCGGTGCCCTCCCCCCAGGTCCACCACTACGGCCCCTCGAGGCCGGATAACGTGCTCCATTTCAGAGACCCACACACTGAGGTCCTGAGGCSGTGGGCCCATTCCCAAAGGGAGGTCACCTGGCCCCCCGACTTTGAATGTCAAGACCAGCGTGGGCCAGGGGGCCGCTTCCCACCACTGGGCCAYGCTGCCAGGTGACCAGAGACCAGACTCCCCCTGAAACCTGGGCCTGAAAGCCAGCACAGTGTGGAAGAGGTGGCCAGAGGGAATCCAGGCCAGGGCAGAGCCGCTGGGCAGGAGCTACGTCCCTCTTTCCTTCAACGTCTGCAGCACTCAGGGGCCGTGGGCAGCAGGTGGGCTGGCCCTGGGTCTGCACTGGACCCAAGTGGGGCGTGGGGCAGGACTTGCCTGCTSCCTGGTCTCTGCAGGAGTGTCCCTGAGCTGGTCCCAGCAGTCCCTAGGGTGGGCCTCCGAGTCGCCCCGACGGCTCTCACTACCCAGCCCCCTCGCAGGGGCCCCCATGTCCGCCAGGAGGCTGCTCGGAGCCAGGCCGCGGTGTCCACATGGTTACGTGAGGCTCCACAGCGGTCACGTGAGGCTCCACAGCGGTCCTCAAGGCAGAGTGGGGGCTGGGCGCGGTGGAGTGACCGCTTCCTGGGGCCAAGGGGAGGCATCGGGAGGGGGCCTGTGGCAGGACCGGCRGGACAAGAAGAGACACCAGGGAGCRGGCACCGTCTCTGTCCAGCCACCCCGTGAGGGCCCCGAGGGCGGGCGGCAGTTGGAGAGCCAGGACATGGCCCTTACCAGAGCCAGAACCCCACACCTAGCTCCTGCGTCCTCGCCCCCAGGTCCGTGAGCCACCAACGTCTGCCGTGGAGGCCGCCAGGTCTGTYTTAAAGCAGCAGCTGAGCTGGCCGCATGGACGCTGGGCACTGCACCCACTCTCCCCACACTGTGTCCCCTGAGTCCCCACCTCGAGGTCCTYGGCCCCCTGTGGTGCTGCTGGGAGGCAGGGCTCTGGGAGGGTGAGGTCCCGAGGGTGGCCCTCATGCCCTGGTGAGCACCCTGACAGACAGCCGCCTGTCCCCTGGCCCCATAAGGACATCTCTGCACCAGGAGACGGGCCTCACCGTCACTGCTGGGCCCTGCGTGATCTCGGACTTCCGGGCTCAGACTGCAGGGCCAAGGTGGTGCCCCRTGCATCTGTGTCCCAGCCAGGGACTTGTGCTTAGCGCAGACTCCGCCTTTAGGAGCTGGAGAGCAGAGCCGGGTGGCCCAGGAACGGCAGGGCAGCACCCTCGTCCGGTACCAGCAGTGGACGTGGGTGCGGCCTCTGGCTTTGCTTCGCACGGGGTCCCTGCACCCACCTCTGCATCCCCAGAGCCCCATCTGCTGGCCTTTTAATCCCAGCAGATGACCCCCCCAGCTCCAGGGAACAGCCCCCTCCCCCAACTGTCAAAGCCACCAGGACCTCGGGCGCACTGGAGGCTCCAGCCCCTCTGTCACCTCGCTCACACTGTCACACTGAGCATCGAGCTCGGTCCCAGCAGCTGGGCTGGGAGCAAMTAACCCCCTTTGTTCTGCACGAAGTGGACACGCGGCTGAAACCCACCATTACGCTATGATTTCAGAAAATTGATCCAAGCAGAGAGCTAAATGGGGCTCGGAGCTGCCTAACGTGACAACCCATCTGAGGCTCTGAAATGTCACCCGCACCAGCAGGAGCCACCACGGAGCCTCCAGGACCGGCGGGCGGCTGGGAAAGCCCAGCTCCCCAGGAGCACAGGGCTGTTCTGGGGGGGCTGCTGCATAGGGAGTCCACTCCCCGTGAGTGGCCACAGCCAGGGGCCCCACGTCCAGTCGGGACAGGTCTGGGGCTCTCCCCGTCTGTGCGTGCAGTAGTGAGGCCAGCCGGAGGGCACAGGAGGGCACCGAGCCAGGAGAGGAAAACCGATCCGCTGAGGCCAGGAGAGGGTGGYTGAATGAGGATCAACGCCCCTGTGCCCTGCTAATTGCACTTGGCAGCYGGGCAGCGGGCCAGGGCCAGCTTTGTCTTCTCACCTGCGGGCGGGTGAGTGGGCAGGGCACAGCTCCCCATCTCCCGGGCTCACCAAGCTCTACTCTGCCCTGCGGCTTGCGTCAGGAAGGAGTGAGCKCCCCACTGCAGAGAGCTGGTGGCCTCTGCAGAGTGGGAGGTGCCCACTGAGCTCACACTGGATTCCCCACTCCAGACGGGCTCACCTGGTCTCCCTGCCGTGGGGGGGGCAGCTGGGGAGGCCAGGGTCTGCCAGGCTCAGGAGGACAGGCCCCCCTGCCCACATTCCTCCCTGGAGCAGGGCTGGCCATTGTCTTTGAGGGAGAAAAGTAGTAGGTACCCAGCGCAGAGCAGCTGGGTGGACAGGGCAGCCCTGTCCATGGCGCTGTGGGTTTAACGAACGCCATCTCATCCCTGTGGGTCCYGGCTGACCAGGCAGCCTTACTGCCYGGACCATCCAGGCCAAGATCCGACATCTGCTCCCCCAAGAGGACACCTAATGGGGGCTTGGAGAACATCGGGATGGAGAGGTGTGACCAGGGCACTCACTTGGACCTTGGATATTAATGGGCCAGGYTGTGGATCTGTGATGAACCGGTTAGCTGTGTGACYTTGGGCAAGTCCCTTGACCTTTCTGTGCCTCAGTGTCCTCATCCGAGATCACAGACCTCCCTACGGCTGCTGCGGGGTCCCGAGACAGCCCGTGCAGAGAGCACAGGCAGGACCTGGTGTGGCCGGTCCCCACGGCAGGCTCCATCAGGGAGAAGCGGCAGTGTTGGGGAGACTGACGGAGAAGCTATTTCAGACAAAACTCTGAGGTTGGTCAGGAGTAAGGGAGAGTCGTGTGACACACCCTGTTGGCCAAGTTGGCTGGTGACATGGGAGGGGCAAGGGCTAGCGGTCAGGCCCCGGGCTCAGGAGCCAGGAGGCCAGGGTTCGGGTCTTCCTCTGCTGCTCTGCTGCTCGGCCTGGGGTAGGGTCACGAAGGCTCATGGGCTAAGAGGGGCCACGGAGCCACCTGCCTGGCGGGTCACCGGGGAGGGGTCTCCGCACACCACAGGCTCGGTGGGCACCTGCCACTGGGAGGGCTCGCCCCCCCCCCAGAGCTCTTCTCTGAGGAAATGGAGACGAGGGAGAGGGGAGAGCGGGGCGCGTGTCGGGCGGGGGCCAGGGCASTGGCCAGGTTCTCAACAGCGGGCACCCTACAGGGCTGCTCAGCAGCAGGTCCCGGGGCYCCCGGGGGCAGACTGGGCAGGGCAGGACGGTGCCTGGATCTGCAGCCTGTTGTCGGGTTGAACTCGGGCCTCAGGAAGGCTCTGCCCGAGCCGCAGCCCAGCCCCTGCAGCCGGCTTCTCTGGGGCCTCCAAGATGTGGCAGACGGACACGGCACATCGGGGAGTCTGTTCCCACTGCCACGAGGCTGGCAGGGGACAGAGCCAGTCTCGGGCCCCCGGCCTGCCCGACCCTACCAGCCACGCTCCAGTCACGCGGGTGAGTCAGAGACGGAGGCTGCCCAAAGCACTGGGCGGTGGCCACACAGGCCGAGCCCACCGTGGCCCACTTCCAGCCTGGGCAGGGGAATGGGGAGGCTGGTGTCCAGCCAGGAGGTGTCCTGCCTGGGCAGGGCCTGGAGGAGGGAGGAAAGGCAGGGCTGACCACTGCTGAGGTCCCCAGGAGGGGCAGGGGTCTGCAGCGAGGAGCCGTGGGTGAGGGGACGTCAGAGATGATTCCCCAGGGCCCAGGAGGCAGGAAGGGGGGCAGGGGGTGGGCTCCTGTCCCTGCCCGCAGCCTCACAGTCCTCAGCTGTGAGGGGGGTGAGGCATCGCCTGGGGGACACGGAGGATGGGGTGCTGTGGCCCACACACCTYGGCTCAGTGGCCCAGGGCCACCGAGAYGCCCACCTCGGCTGGAACGCTTCCCAGCACGGGCAGCTCAGCACCCGGGCCACCCCGCCCGGCCCCCCGCCCGAGGCCCGTGAGGTGGCCTCTCAGGCTGAGCTTCTCTGAGTCCTTTTTTGCCCACTGAGGGGGATGACCGCTGACCCCAAGGCTGGGCTCACCTCCTGTCTCCTGCTGGTAACCCTGGACCCCGTGTGGCGGGCCGCAGCCCAGGGCTGACGTCGCCTGGTCTGAAGGCCACAGGACCCGAGGGGCCCACTGGAACCTCCTCTCGTCCCAGGGGCCTGGCCCACCAAGAGGGCTGCCAGCTGCRGCTGAAGTTTCAGACCTCAGAGGAGGGTCCCCATGGTCCCCAAACAGGAAGTCAAGGTGATCAGGGACTGGTGTCAGTCTAGGTCAGGGCTGGACAGGGGATCGAGGGCCCACACTTGGAGAGTCACGGCCCTGGTTCCCAGGGTTGGCAGGTGGCAGAAGACCCCTGCAGGTGGCACTGGTTCAGGGCTGTGCCCGGGCACTTGCCCCCGACCCTCTTCTGGCCCAAGGCTCTTGTCTAGTTGGGAACCCAGCGGAGGCCTGTAGGACCCAGTTTGAGAACCAAGAGGTGACGATGGGTTTTTAGACATTCAGGCCAGACTCTCTGCTCCTGGTCCTCTGTCACCTGGGGACACCCAGGCCGGGGGCTCAGGGTGCTRCCGAGCCCAGCATAGGGGGACCTCACTCTCCCAGGTCCCTCTCCAAACGCAGSTTAACCCATCTGCCCTCTTCAGGGGCAGGCGCTGCCTGCGTCCACTCGGGGGCTGACCAGGCAGGAAGGGACCCTGAGGAGAAGGCCGTGGTCAGCGCACACACAGGGTGTGGCAGCCCCTGTGCGGCCTGCAGTTCTTCCTGCGGGTGGCGGGGAAGGTGCAGGGGTGACCTGCTGGGACTTAAAAGAGGTGACCTCTCAGTGACCAGGAAGCACCAGTGCTCTGGGCCCCTGGAGCCTGCCCTGCCCCCAGGCTGTCACAGTCCCTCTTCCAGCACAAGGAGCTGGGAACACAGTCACAGCCCAAGGTTCCTCCTTCACCCTCGCTCTCTTCCCCCGCAGGCCACCAGGGTGGCCAGCGCTGGCCAGGAGAAGGAGAGGAACACCCGGGCACCTGGGGCTCTCTGCAGGCACGGGGGGCCCAGACCCCATGCCTGGCGGCCACCTGACAGTGACCGTCGAGTCCGTGAAAGTGGACGAGTCTGCAGGCTCACTGGGACAGGGCCGTCACCAGGGGCCACCGGCAGCCCTTCTTCCCCAGCCCCAGGGCAGGGTCAGGGAGGGCACAGAGTCTGGCTTCGCCAGGGCCCTAGTGGGGCACAGTCGGGGCCTCTGGGGCCAGGGAGAGGGTGGACTGAAGGCGGCACCCGGCCACCTGGYTGACCAGGAAAGGAGGCCCTGAGGGACCTAGTGGCCTGGGCAGCCATCACCAGGAGGGTCACCCTATGTGCTACTAGAGGGTACTGGCCAGCAGCCACACAGCSCCAGGGGCCCAAGAGACAGCGAGCTGGCTGGTGGCCCAGCTGGAGGGGGCTCTGATGGGACACCGCAGCCCAGTTGGCCTCCCCTCTAACAGCTCATCGGTCCTTTGGTCACTGGTGGACACACCTCTGTCCTCCACGTGGCCCCTCTGCCACAAACGCTGCCCGCCACATCCTCAGAACTAGGTCACTCAGGGCCTCCTTCCCTGGTCAGCCAGGTGGCCGGGTGCCGCCCTTAGTCCACCCAGGCCTCCAGCTCTCCTGGGACGTTCTCCTGAGTCCCCTCCCTGGGGGGGACTGCCCTCTTCTCTGTGMCTGGCCCCAGCTCCTACAGACGTGAGCCCCTGGAGATGACGGGCCCCAGTGTCCAGTGTGGGGGTCACAGCCTGCCACTGCACACACCCCAGACACCCAGCTGGCCAGGCCGTGGTCAGCCCAGTCTGCAGAGAAGGGAACGGATGGCACCCTGCTGACCAAGGACACGGGCAGGGTGGGGATCGGGGCTCCTGGAGGAGGAACCGCCTGGCTCTGGTGGCCGTGCAGGCCAGTGGGCAGGGYGCAGGCGCAGGACGGCTGCTCTGAGCGGGGACCCGGGGCCCCTCCCGCCCTCTCTYGGGTCTCAGCTTCCCCTCCTTAAGATGGGCACAGGACACCTGCAGGGAGGCCACGAGGCTCCAAGGAGGGCCCACGCCCCGGCCGGCCCAGGTCCGCCTCCCCCACGAGGGGCAGCTGTGGTCCTCAGTGGGGCCACTCCCAGCCTGGCCAGCCTGGTGCCCTCCTGGGCCTTCAGGGCCCCAACGGGTCAGAACCGCCCCTCTGCACCCCGCAGCGCCGACCTGGTGCCCTCCTGGGAAACCCCACCCGCGGAGGCTCCGGGAGGGAGAACCCAGGAGCAGGGGCCCCGGGGGCGTGGGTGGCCGCCCTGCAGGCCCCACTTACCCCAGAGGGCCATGAAGACGGAGAAGAAGACGGTGGCTGGGTTGTCAAAGAGGTGGCTGGCGCGGGCCGTGGCGCAGGCCGAGCTCATCTTCCAGTAGCTGCAGGTCTTGTCACAGAGCGGGCACATGGTGATGTTGTGTCTCTGGTCACACATCTCCATGCTGCAAGAGAGGGGCCGCTTTCAAGTCCCCGGGCCACTTGGACGAGGCCCCTCCTGGGGGCCCCTGCTCCTGGACCACAGGGGACATGTGAGGAGCAACAGCTGGTGGCAGCTGTCCCCTGTCCCTCCCTGCCACCCAGGGCCAGCCCAACCCGGAGTCGGCAGGGCCCTTGCCATTCCCGTCTGAGAGTCCCTGGGAATTCTGAACCAGGGTGTCACATTTCATTTTGCAAGGGGTCTTGAGACTGCAGCTGGCCCCATGAGGCCCCCCTCAGACTGGCTTGGGGCAGGAGGTCCCCTGGGTGGCCCTCAGGCAGCAGCCTGCACGCCAGCCACCTCCGCCACCTCCAGAAGTCTGGGGTCTTGGAGGGCCTCTCCCCGTGGCCGGGCAGTGCCAGGGCCAGTCGGCTGGGAACGGAGCCCAGGCCAGGCCCCGGAACTGAAGGAGGACCAGGGTAGCTGGGCACAGTGGCCACCCCTGGAATTCCAGCCACTCGGGAGGCTGAGGCGGGGGGATCCCACGTTCGAGGCCAGCCTGGGCAATTTAGCGAGACCCTGTCTCAAAAGCTAAAAGGGCTGGGGAGTAGCGGGGGGAGCACCCCACTCAGTCCCTGGGAAGCAGGCCGCCAAGTGCTTGCGGGGCCCTCTCCCGACACCAAGGAGGGTGGAGGAGGCACCCCGGAATGCTCTCCAGGAGGCTGGGTTACAAGGAACACGTCCCCAAGCTACCTGGTAGCCAGGGGGTCCACCTGGGATGGTGGCCCTGGTGGGTGAGGCCTCTGATCTGCTGTGCAGACCGGCTCGAGGGGCGGCGCCCGCAGCTACATGCAGAGGAGGATGCCAGCAGCCAGGCTCTCCCCCTCCACTGACTCCGAGAGGCCACCAGTTGGTAGCAAGAGCCTCAGCACTGGCCTGCGTGGAGTGTCCACCTGGCTGGGATCAGCACTGGGGATGACAGAATCGACCCCACCTTCACAGATGGGAAAGGAGCCCAGAGAGGGGAATAAGTTCCTCAGAGCCACACAGCACAGTGGACTTGGACCTTGGTCTTTGCGTCTTCAAAGTCTTCTCAGGGGCCATGGGGGTGGGGCTCCCGCCGAGGTGGGGCGCCTAGGCCGGGTCCTTGTTCTACCGTCCTGCCTTCTGGGACCCTGGCCAAGCCCTCTAGCTTCAGATCTGGTTTTCTTTCTGAACACCAGGAGGGGCAAGAATAAGGCCCTTCCGGCTGTGGCCTCCCTGTGAACCTGGCCCAGACCCTCATCTCTGAACAGAGGCCGGCTGGAGCCCTCGTCCCCAGCRGTCGGACGGAGCCTGGGGCGGAGCTGAGGTCTTTGCTTGGTTTCCTTTTTGTCAGGTTCCTGGAGACACGTGAACCTGGGCACAGACGCACACCTGGCCCACTGCGGCCACCAGCTCTGGGGGACCTTCCCGTGCCAGTCAGGGGACATCTGGCTCACTTCCTCCAGCTACAGTCACTGGACCTCCATCCCGTGCTGCACAGTCTGCACCAGGCCCCGTCGGGCAGGGAGGTGGGAGGGACAGGAGAGGGCGTGGCAGCTGCCCGGGGCATCTGGGGAAGAGTGTGCCTGTGGGGACGTGGGGGCTGGGGCGCGGGGACACGGGGGCTGGGGCGCGGGGCCGACTCGCAGGCAGGGGGAGGAACTGTGCTCCGGAGCCGGACACTCTGGGATGGATCTCTGAGATCCGCCAGGCCCTGGGCAGGTCACTCTACCTCCTGTGTCCCAGGGTCCCCATATGTGACGTGGGTCTGATAATGTGTCACTGGATTGTGGGGAGGACGAGACCACCGAGGTGCATGGACCTCTGCCTCGGGGCTGGCGTGTGACTGCTGTAGTCACCATGGCCACCCCTGGGAGCTGGGGTGACCCCGACAGAAGCCCAGGGACGGCCTCGTGGGGCACCTATTGCCCTTACTGAGCTTCCCCTCGTCCAGGGCCTCTTAGGGAGGCAGCACATGCCCAGCTGTGCCTGACCTGAGCCCCTCGGGCAGGGAGGTGGGTGGAAGGCCGCCCCATCGTCTTCACTGACCCAGGGCCATAGTGGCCACCAGCTGGAGGGCCTGGAGGCCTGCGGGTGGGCTCGGGTCAGGGAGGGCTGACCTTGCCCAGCCTGGTCTCCTCCCTGCCAGCCTCAGCTCCTGGCAAATGCCACCAGCCAGACACAGAGCCTGCTCCTGCTGGTTCTGAACCCAGCTGAGATAAGGACAAGGAGCTCAGAGGTCGGAGGTGGAGGTTGGAGGTCGGAGGTCGGAGGTGGAGGTTGGAGGTTGGAGGTGGAGGTGGAGGTTGGAGGTGTTCCCAGGGAGGCCGGAGGCTGGGCTTTCCTGCAGGCAGCCTGGGGAGCCTGCGGGGCCTCCCCTTCCAGGCGCAGCACCAGGCGAGGCTGGGTAGGGACGCCTGGCCCTGCTTGCCAACCCCCCTGAGTCACTGTGTTTCTGACCACGTGATGGCGGCCGAGCTGGCACAGCCGAGGGATCTTGGACCCTTTCCTGGGCAGTCCACCCCCGAGCTGGCAGTCTCCGCCCGCAGGAAGGAAGGAGCCGGAGACTCACCTGGCCTGCTCCAGGGCGCCCGCGGACACTCCCTCCCTGCCCTGCCCGTGCCACCCGAGGCCAGCCCCAGCATCCCCCGAGGCTGGGCTTCAGAGATGGTCACCATGGCCAAACGGGTGCAGGGGCCTCACACCATCCTCAAAAAGAAAGGTCAAGCGCCCCCTGCCCAGGGTCAGGACAGCACTGAGGGCCCGGGCCGAGCGCCCGCAAGCTCTGCTGGGCGGGTGGAATAGTTCAGGTGCTGTTCACGGATCAAAACCTCCTGAAGCACAACCGGCCAGCTGTGGCCTATTTGGGCTTCTGAGAGCCAGCCTGTTCATGGGCTGGACGACTCGGTGGCTCTCCAGCCCACGGCTGTGTCAGAGGAACCTGGCAGAGTCACCAGGAAGCCACCAGCTGGCATCAGGACTGGCTGAGACACAGGGTCCTGCGAGGCCAGGGCAGTTGGGTCCCCGMAGAGGGCTGCACACACAGGCCTGAGAACAGAGGGCCCGGTCCTGGCGCCCTGACAGCTGGGCCTGGACGCACCACTGCCGGGCGCAGGGGTGGCTGTGGCCAGTCCAGCGACGCAGAGGTGGCAGAGGTGCCGGGGAGAACGGCCCCCCGAGCCAGGCTGGTGTCTCTGGGGTCCTGGCCGCCTTCCCAGAGCTCCCCAGGCCTGGCACAGTCCTCGGTGACCAGGGAGGCACAGAGGGTCCACCCAGAGACCTGCGTGGGCTGAACTCTGCTGTGGCTGGGCCCTGGGGGTGACAGCGCAGGCACCACTCAGAGGCGGCCGTGGGGTCAGGGTGCTCTGCAGGCGGCACCAAGGCCGGAATCCCTTCCTGACCCTACAAGGTAGGGGATTTTCTTGCTGTTCGATGACCCCAAATGACAAGTCCTTCAAAACACGAGAACGGGCCTGGCGTTGACCTCACGCCCCGACTCAGTGAGGGTGTCCAGGAAGGTGCCCACACGTGGATGCAGCTCTGAGCCTGTGGACRGCGGCCGCCCAGGCGCCCTTGAGGTCCCCGGGGGCTGAGCGTGGGACGCTGTGAGGCCAGCCTCCCACTGGACCCTGCTGCTGGGCGGGGGCGTGACCCTGGGGCTGTGCCCACCTGGGGATGTTCTCGTCCATGGTGGCGCAGCCGTAGAGGAACACGATGACGCCGACGACGGAGGCCGGGATGAGCATCTGGGTGTAGGCGCCCAGCCAGGCGAAGTACAGGCCGATCTTCTCCCCGAAGTACTTCCTGCCAGAGCAGACAGACAGAGGCMGCAGCTCCTTCTCCGCCCACCACCCGGAAAGAAGGCGCGTCCCTCCCCAGAGGGAAAGCTCTCCCAGGCCACTTCTCGTCCCGCAGGCAGCACGGGGCTCGGAAAACCTCCCCAGGTGGGGGGGGGCGCTCTCGGTGGGTATCACCCGCCTCTTTTGGGCCCTGGGAAGGGGCTCTGTGCTTGTGCAGGCCACACTGGTGGGCACACGGTGTTCCCCGAGCCTTGAGCCCTGGAGTGGACATGGGCCTGGAGGGGAGAAGACCTGCCACACCCATCGCCCGTGGGCTCCTGCTGGCTAAGTCAGTTTCCACCGGCCACACTCTGTCACGTCCCCACAGGACACGCTGCCTGAGCCGATGGGTCCCTTCCTGCCTTGCAGGGACAGAGGTCCTTGGGCGCGGCCAGGGGGGCAGCAGAGACCGGATGTGACACAGGACGTCTATCCTCCAGCGAGTAAAGAAGCTGCTGCCCCAGCGCTGGCTGGTCACACGCCGAGCCTCCCACGCAGCTTCGAGTTCCAACAGGTTCCCAGGTGACTGAATATTCAGAGCGGCCGAGACCTCAGGGACTTCCCCCCACGACATGCAGCCAGCCACCGCTTCCCACAGCCAGGGCCAGGCCCGCAGAGCCCGCTTACCTGACCAGGTCGATGGGCTGGTACTTGTAGAAGACCCCATAGCTCGCCCACTCCTCGTACAGGAGCTGCAGGAAGAGGGGGGGCAGGTGAAGCTGGCACCCCAAGGCTGCCTCCCACCGAGTGCTCGGAGCTGCTGGCCTTGGCCCCTGTCATGTCACCTCGCCATCCGCACTCGCCGAGCACCGGCCGAGCCCGGGTGACCGCGGCGGGGAAGGTGCTCCTGGCAGGCTTTGGCATCCCCCACCTGGCCACCTGACGTGGAACTGACCCACGGTGCCGGYACCGCGCGGCCTCTCCGCGTGGGCTCACCCGTCACGCACCAGACCTCCTCTATACAAGTCACAAACYCGCCAGGGTTTCCAGCAGAGAAATGTCAATGGCAAATTAAAAAAAAAAAAAAAAAAGAAAGAAAGAAAAAAAAACCTCCGGGTGCAAAAATAGCTCGAGGTCTGTCTCCAGAGATGGGCCCTCGATTAACAGAGCGAACTGCAGTAAATGAGACGGGCACACCCTGCCTCCCCCAGGCTCAGGCAGGGACGGTAATGAGCCTGGTGGATGGGAAGCCTCTCGTGCCCAGGAGGAGGCCCCAGGACAGCGCTGGGAAGGCTGGCCAAGGCCGACTCCCACGGTGTGGGCAGCCCGCGGCCCACCTTCACCCCCGCCCGCGCCAGGCCGCACCCTCCAGCTGCAGGGAGCAGAGYGGCTGCCTCTCTCCTCGCTCAGGCCTGTTCCCTAGGCCAAGCCACCTCCCAAACAGAGTCCTAGGTCACGGTGCTGGCCAAGGGACCCTCTGAGCCTCGGTGACTTCTCACAGTCCCTGGAGGGCAGGGACGGGGGCGTGAGGTGGTCCTTAGCTAGTGTGGAGCTCCCTGTTGGGCCGATGTCCCACTGCGCCCACCTGACAATCGCGGATGAGAAGACCCCTGTGCCCTGCACCCATCGGCCCCRGCCCAACCGGCCCAGGAAGGCCAGGTTCTGTAACCCCCAAAGGTCCACCGGCCGCCACACAGTGCTCAGAGCTGCAGGCCCCACCGGTGGCCCCGAGGCCACAGGCCTGGCACTGTGCCCAGTGTCACCCAGYTGGCAGGAGGGGGTCAGGTGGCTGTGAGGCCTCTGGACCCCACAGCCGTCTTGAGCAGGGCCCAGGGGCAGGTGAGGGCTGGATTCACCCTCAGAGATGAGCRATCCGACCCACCAGAAGGGAAGGAGTCCAGGTGTCTCAGGGGCCACACGGGCAGCAAGAGGCATCCGGGTCTGTGGAAGGTGTGTGGGGACCGTCCCAGGACCCTCAGAGTCCTCCCACCGTGGGCCGGGACCGCCTCTGCCTGCAGTGGGGAGGAGGGCAGGGCTGGGGCTCTGTGCTACTCCTACTCTCACCCTCTTCCTGACGTTTATGTAAAAGCTGGAGTGGAGGGGGCCGTCCTGCCCGATTCTGCCCTGGAGACGTGAGACCACCGTCCCTCTACTAGGGACCTCAGATTCACCTGTGGACGCGGAACCTCTGGACACTGTACTTGAGGCCGAGGCTCCCCGAGGCCATCGGGGTTAAGTGAGGTCATGAGTCCCTGCTGCTGGGACTAGTGCCCTTACCATGAGGGACCGACACCAGAGGTCTTTGTGCAACCAGGAGGAGGTGCCACCAGAGGGGCTGGCTGCAAGCCAGGAAGAGAGTCCCCGCAGGGAGCCGGCCGAGGGGCAGCACCCTGGCCTTCGGCCTCTGGCCTCCAGAACTGAGGCAGTGAGTGTTGGCCAGCTGCCCCGTTGGTGGCTGCGGCTGTGGCATCTCAAGCTGAGAAGTCCTGCCCACTGACCCAGAGGCCCAGAGCTGATGGTCAAGATTCCTCCAAGCAAGTCTTGGAGAATGAAATGTGGCCCTCGGGTCAGGGGTCCAGCCTGGGGAGCTGTCCTCTGGGGGATTTCTCCCCTCTGGGGCTCTGCAGCTCTGAGAAGCACCCAGGAGAACACGGCGCTGGCTCCGTCCAGTCAGTGCGCACGGGCTCTGAGAGGCAGGGACGGGGGCCCTGGGCAGAGCCAGGGTGGTCTTCGGTTCCACAGAGCCCTGCCGTGCACCCCCTGTGGCCATGGGGAAGCATYGGGACACGCAGGCGTCCCTACCCTGCCCAGCGGTCTGCAGGGAGTCGGAGCCGGCTCTGATGTGGGTGTCAGCTCCACTGGGCCTGGGCAGCGGGAGGGCCCCTATGCTGTACAGAGGATGAGGGTGCGGTCCCCGCTCCCAGGTCACTGCAGGAACCGAGGGGCTCAGCACAGAGGCCTGAGGTGCACAAGTGGCCCCCTGTGAGGCACCCTGAGTCGGGCTGTGCAGATGACAAGGGGCGTCCCTGTGCAAGCTGGGACGTAAGCAGGCCACACTGGAGCCGGGCTGGGCCTCTGGGAAGGGAGAGTGGCCTGCTTTACAGCACCGTCCCCTGCAGCCAGGTCACGAGAGGGGGGAAGGAGAGAGAGGGAGCCAGAGAGATGGACGGACAGAGATGGGGGTGTGGGAAGGAAGAGGGAGGGAGAAGGAGAGTCAGAGAGTCRGGGCAGAGCCACAGGCACAGAGACCCCGGGGCAGGCACAAGCTCTAGGAAGAGAAGCACCTGAGACAGGTGGGGAGGGCGGGCCGGGGGCCGCACGGCGCACGTCAGCTCACCGCCACGCTCAGATGGCAGACGGAGCCCCCACCAGCTTCCCACGAGGCCACTAGCCTCCGTGGCCTCTCTTYCTGCCAAGAAGAGAAGTCCTGCCCATCTCCCTGGACTGTCACGGCCAAGGAACCACACGGGGATTGCCCTGTCACCACTGGAAGAAGGGCAGGAGGCTGCGCCATCGTCACCAACAGCACGGGGAGAAGCTGGCCACGCAGGCTGAGGACCAGGCCCCTGGGGCCCCCGGCTCCTCCGTCCAGTGACCAGGACCTTCTAGCTGTGGGCCTGAAGGGGTCCTGGCTCCATCCATGGGCATCTCTCTGGCCAGGGCCTCCCTCCTGTGTCCAGAGCTGGCCCTGCACAGCACTGACACYGGCCTGAATTGCTGTGTGTCAATGCCCCTTGCTGGTCCCCTCGAAGGGGGACCGGGTTTAAGTGATCCTCCTCATCCTCAGTGAAACAGGGCCGGGGCCACTGGCAGGTTCCCAGAGAGCAGCTGATGACGGGCGGGTGGGACGACAGGCCGAGCCACCAGCCCAGCCCGGGTGGAGTGGACCTCGTCCATGGGCCCAGTGAGTCTTCCTAGAGGTGTCAGCTGTCCTCTGCTCCATGGGGCTCCCGCTGGCCTGGCCTTCCAAGTGCTGGCCAGAGGACACCCTTCTGCACACACACACAGCCTTGGGTGTTCCCTGTGCAACCAGGTCAGTCACACAATAGGAACTCACGGGAGGCCTGCAGGAAGGTGCACGGCCTGAGGGCCCCACTGTCCACGGCCGGGACCGGGCCCAAGGCTATGACCACCTCGGTGGGGACTTTGCTGAAACGTGGCTGCCCCAGCCCAGCTTTCCTTCTGTCCTGCAAGATACCTGGGCCTAGGGCTTCTGCAACTCACAGGGCAGTGAGAGTGGAGAAGCTCCAGAGTCTTCAGAGAAAAGGCAAAGGACTCAGAACCAAGCCACTTAAAACAGAATCCACAGAGTGTGAGAAGTTCTCCAGGACTCTGAGCTAGGACTCCTATGTCCCCGCTCCTTCCCTCCCTCTCACCACCACTACCTGTCTATCGCTCACCCACCCATCCCTCCTCCCCCTCCTATCCATCCATCCAGGTACCCATCATCTACCCTCCATCCACTTATCCATCCACCCTCCCTCCCTCCATCCACTCACCCACCTCCATCCATCCATCCATCCATCCATCCATCCATCCATCCATCCATCCATCCATCCATCTATCCACCCGTCCATCCATCCACCCATCCATGCATCCACAGTCCATCCACCCTCTATCCATCCACCCTCTATCCAT